ATTCGTTTATCGTAATCACATTGATAACACCCCCCTTATTACATATTATATTCTGATAATAATCATCTGCTCACTAGTGACTGACTTCAAGAGATACTCCTGGAGTTCTAGTGGGAAGCCGTTACCAGTGGAGTACAACCAGGTCTGTTGTGAGATATCAATTCACTGAAGACAATGGTATATGGTGGCGCAACTTCGTGGATTGGTTGAAGTTAGACATTAACACCGTTGAATGCCGGCTCAGTGGTCTATTGGTTAAGTGCTCGCACGCGAAACCAGTATGCCCTGGGTTCGAACCTCGCAAGGGGCGACGTCGTGGATGCGCACTGCTGAGGAGTCCATACTAGGACGAAACGGCCGTCCAGTGCTTCCAGGTTTTCCGTGGTGGTTCAGCTTCAATTGACTCATGATTTCAACCAGTGATATCATTAATAATATTATCTCAATTGACAAGATAACATTCTCCTACTATTCATCTTATTCACACAATTTTTTTTATATTTTCATTTTTGCTATAATACTATTCTACTTATTGTGACTGGATACTTTACTCCAAATCATTTTGACCTTTCTAATGTGCGAATAACACAATTTTGAAGTATGTATGTCGTTTTACAAATACATTCTTCCTCTTCAAGGATATTCTTCGTTCATATCTCTGTATTACTCATTTTATTAATAAGGTTAGTCTCAAACAATGGGTACCACTAATTAAAAATACAATTTACCAGATTGTTGTCCACACATTATGTAATTCTTAATAGATTGAATAAAATGGTTAAATGAGATGTGAATTATACATTATTTTTGAAAATAAAAAGATTTTCACTTGTTCATACTAGTGAAATGTTTGTATTTTATCGAATGATAATTATGTACAGTATCGAGAAATTTGGGCAGATTGTAGAACTTTCATGGTTTAAATCACGTAGTAGTAGTAGCAGTTGTTGTAGTAGTAGTAGTAGTAGTAGTAGTAGTAGTAGTAGTAGTAGTAGTATGAGCTAAATAAAACCACCATTTAAATCCTGGAAGCGCTGAACAGCCGTTTCATGCTACTAACTTGTTCATTGTCATATTGGAAAGTCAGTTAATTGTAAGTATATTTGAAATCATATCTCATATATGAATATTTGCAGAAAAATGATCTTTCAACATTGTCATTTATAACATTCTTGTTAAAAATGATACAATTTTAGTAATATTAACGTGCAACAACTTTCCACTTGTAAATGAGAATATGGTAATCATGTCAAACAGTGAAAGTTTACTACAATTCCAAAAGTATGTATCATCGAAAAATTTATATTTAATAACGGCAGATATAGGTCAACTGCTTCAAGTCGGTAGTGAAAATCATCTCAAACTGATACTGATCAGTCAATGAAACGTTACATTGTTCAAATCCTAATATTAATGTTGTCCCCCCATCTGGATCTTAAGTGGGGTGAACCTGTATGCGGAAATTACGAATCACATATGAAATTATGCATTATCTAAACATCATTATTGTAGTTATGCATACTTATTACCACGCTATTATACTACATCCTCTATAAGCTGTAAACGACACGAATTTAAAATAAAGGTTATTGGGTAGTTATTTGTACCGAATAACTGGGTTGTAAAGAATAACCATGAGAATGTAGAACCGAAGTAATGAAGGGGCAATACAAATACACCGTCAGCAATCTCGTTGAAGCCTCATCCCTATATCCTAAAAAAGGAGGTACTATTTTCTATGTAGTTCACTAACATAACGCAACATGCTTTGGATGACTGGCAGGGATGAACACGTTAATGCCGGTAATGGGCACAAATGTAAAAGAATATTTCACACAGCCGAAATCACTCGTCGTTAAAACTCATCATTTCATAAAAAAATGGTGATAAAATTGAGAGGACGAAAAGCGGTTGTCCGACGCTTTAACCGGGTTGGTGGACATGGAGAGTCCACCTAGGGGAGTTGGAAAGCCCTGATTAAAAACCAATGGTGCACATGGGCTCCAGTATCCTGCGGGAACAAATGGCGTATGAACCAATTGTTGGTCACCGGCTACCATGGAACTGCATCTCTTTACGTTGCTCCACTGCCTTGTGGGTCAGACCTTCAGGTCGAAGGTCCGGGGAGTGGCCCCCTAAGAAAACCACCTGCTTCGGTTTGGGCACCCGGGCAGTATCACAGCTCTCACACAAATCAAATGAGATTTGTGTGGCGCATATGTATTTGGTGCCTCCTTGTACCAATATCTGTGTTAAAATAAACAAATAATTCACCATTCATTGACAGATGTAGAATTCCTCAGACAACCAAAAGCTTTTGAGAACGTGACTTTTTGGCATTCCATAATGAGACACTTGTAGAAATGCAAATCGTGTACAGAATAAAAATTCACCTTAACGAACCAATAACTTCTCAAGCGACATGGAGTTTGGTCTTATAGTCAATACTTCACTTCGTGGCACAGATAGTCTGTTAGTTATGGATGTCAGTTCTATACATTTGGTCGGTTGACAGGCTTTTATGCAGTATCTAGGTGATCATTCAGTTATAATCACGAGTTTCTCCGTTTCATATGTGAGAAAAATCCCCGCATTAGTCGTTTGACAGCTGTTCAGAAGAATAAGATTCGTCCTTTATTGATGTCCCGAACTAAAGCACTCCAGTTTCCAGTAAGTGCCATGCTTTCGGACAGATACGACTTCACATTTCCAGTAATTCTATACTGCAGTGGAACACAACATTTCTAGGCACTTCTTTCCTTATTTCATGCAATCTAACATGGAACTAGCTGTTTATAGCAAGATTGTCATCACTGATGAAAGAACTAACAGGTATCCCTGTCAAAGCATTGTCTCAAAAGAAGGCTACGAACCTGCCATTTAGCTCGGAATTTTCTTTGACCAGGATTCCAAATGTTACTGGCACCGTCTTTATGAAGGCATTTAGTGCAATTATCTCGTACAGAATCGTACGCTTCTTGTTGCACCTGTGGGTACCATCAGTACCTATCACATCCGAAAATCGACCGTCTACATTTTTCTGATCCAGTGTTGAGGAAATTAGCATTTTAGACCATCGTTCACTTGGCGATTTCCAGTTGCAATCTCCAAGATTGATGATAAGTGCAGCTAACGTTTCAGAATCCCCAACTAATTAAAGATCATAACCCAAGTTAGACTGACCCAGAAGTTACGGTCGTTTAAATAAACATATTGGGCGAGTATTATTTCCGTAATTTTCATACCTAAAAGTCAAACTAATTAACAATCTTAATTTAGCATTTTTATGCATACAAATAGTCATTTCACGGTTTGGTTTAGATGATGCTTGGTAGGGTACAGGGGAATGGAGGAGGGAGCTTTTGATACAAATTTTATACCTTTAAATACTATTCTTGTTTGTGCTATGAGTCTCGGATGCATAATAGACTGAAGTAGCAGGTTTGTGATAAGCTTTTCGAATGACGACACTAATATTCTGTCCTCTCATTTATTCATTTCAATACAAGCGCTCATCTATATGCTTCAATGTTAAGGTTTGGCCTTCGAGACGATTGAACCAATTCAAATAACGCTATGTTGTAAAAAGGAGTTTATAATACCAAACTAAACAAATCACACCACCTGAGAATTAATTAGGCTCCGTCTGATTTGACTAGTGAGATTGCAGTAAATAGTGTTAATCTTATTGGTTTGATACACATAGGGAGAAAGTGAGTCGAGGATTAACACACACCAATCACATTAATAATTTAAAAAAAACTAGGAATTTATAAACCTAGATCTCTAGCACCTATCTCATAGCCATAAGAAAAGTCGGTCACCTGACCCAATCAGAGATTCTTCGGATTGGCTCTAACGTAATATATATATATATATATATATATATATATATATATATATATATTGCTAAAAACATCAACCGTGAAATATCTACTACTGGATCATCTACTAATTCAGTTGCTCCAGAATTTACCAAAGGTTATAAGAATTCCGACTTATCTTAACAAGTTGGCTTATTATACTTTAATGTTCCATCAAGATTTCTGACAGACTTCCAACCTACGAGTATACTTATTGCATAAAATTCAGCCCCACTTCAGATCTTTTAGTCCTATAGTTTATTGGCTTCTGGATAGCAACATCCAACCAGTACATTGATCTCTTTACTCAACAATCCAGGTTAACATAAGTCAAATAGATGAGGGATAGTAAACCAATACTACCGCCTTTCATAGCCTGTTGGGTTGTTTTAGCTAACTAACAATTAACGTAGTAGAATAACACTAATTCATTATATTTTGCAGTTTCTCATCAGCTGTTTACAACTCAAACAAAATAGTGCTATTCATTAAAAACTAGCTTATTTACTTTAGACTATAGTATCGAGAGTGTTTTCATAAGCTATTTCATCACCCTTGCTTCAACCCAAGTCTTGGAAAGAAAGGCTCCTTTTTGGTCATCGCATTATCTGTTAAAGGTTTCATCCCAAGCAAGACTTTTAACACACGACCTACTTATATCATTGATTATTTTCCAATGATCCCCTTAAGCCAAGGACATAATCGCGATATTCATTTAAGCATACACATATACACAAAAATTACCAGTTACTATTCCACCATTCAAAATACCAATAATCATAAAAACAGTAATTTTATTTGAAATGGATTGGATTATCCTACTGTTAATATTTTAACTGAGATTTCATCAGAATTGGTTGGCATATTTGCATTCTGTGTGGATTACCTCAATATAGCTATTGTGCCGAAAATTAGTATAGAATAGATGGAATGTGCAGAAGTGAGCGGCTTTATGAACTCAGTATCTAAGTGTTCGAAGTAGACGGTAGAGTACTAGGTCCCAGTCTCTGAGTGAATGTTAACTGCGAGATGCAGACACATCCGGTTGACGAGTCCCAAATAGGACAAAACCTGAGTCCTGGATTCGATTGCTAGCCACATTTAATCTATTCTAAGGTAAAATTGTAGTAAACCTACATGATGAGCCGGCACAATGATAGGATGCCATGGTCCACCATTTCTCCAATTGCACTGAGTATGTAAATCTTGACGATATAAAGACTTCCAATTGACCTGTATGGAAGAAAGTAATAATATATAGAATTCTACGATATGAAATAAAAAGTAGATAAAAGTATAATCATTAATATTACATGTCAATGAGTGACATATACGCTACGAAAAACAAAACTGTCCCATTTATGATAATATCTATGTTCGCAAAATACCAACAAAAGTTTATGGGTTAGCAAGTGGAATGATACACAATGAAGCTGAAAAATCATATTAAGAGCAGTTGTAGTTTGAATACGTCGTGATCAGTGAACATTATTTATTTATTACTATTGATGGCCCTATTCAATATTATATATTTAGTACAATATAGAATTCTCAAGTGTTAACCCGCATCAACTAAAACGTGAAATCTACTGACAGGTGTCATTTACCTAGCTTCATTGTTTGATATTACAACTGACCGATTCGGTTCGCAATTGACCTCCTGCGGGGTTTAAATATCTACAATTGATCACTGAGTAGTGACCAATAATATGTTTGTCTAGTTTTTTAGTGAGGATCGGATTCTATCGAATGCAATGTGATCGATTAGCCTACTTTCAACAACCTAACAGATCAACATGGTGTTAGCAACGTTGAATCACTTAGACTAGTGACATTACATCTTAATCTATGGAATTCGATCACCATTAAAAGATCAGACAAACAAGAGACTAGCCATTAATCTGTGATCAATCAATCGTAAATATACCCTCTAACAATTAGATAATCAATGAATTGATAATGATGAATTTTACAGTGAACTAATAACCAATCAATTATGACTAGTAAGTATACGACTAGATTTCAATAGAAGGAAATAAAAACTTCGGTTATTAAATTATACTAGGAACAATGGCTTAGCAGCCAAAGCATTCGGATTTCAAGTTATGAGATTCAGTCCCACTTCACTTAGTTCATTTCAAGTAACAGAGAGTAATTAGCACCACTAGACCCCCATACACACACACACACTTCATAACTCAAAATCAAGTGTACATGGTAAATGACTTCCATTAGAACCAGAATATAAGCATCTAAAAATAAAATGCTTGTTTTAAAAAGATTTAATATTAAAATTACTTACCTCATTCAAATTAAAAGAATTTGAAGGATTACCAGAATAAGATAATGCAAAAGTTGATTCACTATCAGTGTCAAAAGATTGAATATGATCACTTTTCATGGACACATCACAATCATGTACTTTAAAATTGTCGCCATCATCAGTGATATTACTATTATTGATGATAGAGCTTTCAAAAAGGGATTTTGTCTCATTACAAAGTGAATTTGTAGGTTTATTTACACATAAAAGACAATCCAGATGGGTACCTAGATTGATTTTTTGTGTTTACAATAAAAAAACAAAAACAAATAAACACATTACCTGAATATAAGTTCATTGTAGATTTTTTGAATAATGTGTTAAACAATCCAGCACCTACACACAAACGATACCAAAGCAAATTATCATCACAAACAAGTTGCCAAGTTTTGGAAACCTACAAAAAGAAAAACGAATAGAGAGAAATATGGAGACATGTGGGGTAGAACCTGGAACATAAGTGCATCGATTGAAGTTCCTAAAAGTGAGATGGAAAAGTTCCATTACTAATGATGGGTTTGGGGAAATTGTTTAACTTTGTACCTTGTATCACAGACTAACTGCGGATAGACAACCATAGCTATTTCGCTTCAGCTTAGGAACCTACGGCAGCGTTGTGAATTGACCAAGGTTAGAAATGTCAATCATTTGATGGAAACAGAATGTTCTGAAGGACAAGAGCCGTAAAGACTGAAGGTCCTAGGTTTGATCCCTGGTAAGGAAACCTTGATTAGGGAAGAACAACTATCAGTGCTTAACGGTATTCAATGGTGATATATAGTGAAAGCAAAATAGATGGAAAAAGTAACATTAAGTAAATATTTTGAATGATAAAGGAAATAAGTATTAAAACGGCAAGCATTAGTGAAACTATCTCGGACAAGAACGGAACTGTCAGTCAATTTGAGTCCAAATTAAATAAACGGGAAGAACACTACGGAACAGTACAGCCACTCTATAGCAACTCTCCAGTTACGAGTAATCTCTAAACAACCTGAATGAGAAACTGAAAAAAGTCCTTCAATTCCTAATGAGGTTACAAAGGTTATAAATAATGTGACGCGAAGGAGGGAAGACAGTTCAGACGGATTAGTCCTGGAAATATTGGAGGATAGTGGTCCAGTTTCAGCAGTTAGGTTGACTGTAACATTGGTTAGAACCTGAGAGGTAGGCGAAGTCTCATTTAACTGATCTCGACCGCTGATCGTACCAGTTTACGAGAAAAGGACAAAATTCAGAAAGGAATCAGTATGACTAATATAGTGTTCAAAATATTGGCCTTTACAAACATTCAATGCCTAGGGCTCGTAAAGAGTAAATCCAAGAAAGTCAGGTTGGTTTCAGATAAGGAGTAAGATTAATCGACTAAATTATCACTTTACAACATATTTTATAACACAGGCATACTGTCCAATGTCCGATTATAGATGTATTTGACCTTAAAGTAGCATTCGACTATGTCGATCGAGAGATTTTGTGGTGGTCTGTCAATGAAAAAGGTACCAAAGAATTGCATCAAGCTTTTAAAGGACGATTACTCTGACGTTATTATTTGAGTTAGAGCTTATGGATAACTATCATCAAAATCGTCAACTTCAAGTGGTGTTCGCCAGGACTTTCCACTCTCTTTTTTAAATGACTTTGTCATAGACACTTCTAGATGTGACACACCTGTCATCTAAATTTCCAGGGGTTGATCTCTTAACTGTAAATTCACTTGTCGATTTAAAATACGCAGGTGATACATTTGTGTTAGATAAAGACAAAATGTTGATTGGGGTCCGCGCAGTTATCGTAACCAGTGGTTGGAGACTCTGGGTGATATAGCTCAGAACTGATCACAGTGGCGTAGGTATATACACACTTTGTTTTTCCTTAAACTGTGAGATTAAAAATACTTCATTACCTTTCTTTCTACGAACTGATTCTTTCGTCTTATAAACAATCATTTTTAACACATTACTACCACTGAAGTAACTACTTCTATGAATTTGGCGATCATCTTGTTGTGCTAATGAGATGTGGCAACTTGGACAGATGCATACATGTTCCTGGTCCTACGTTGTAGATGACTGACTGCCCAGGAAAGGACCTGAGTATTTTGATGGGAGACCTAAACGCTAAAGTCGGAATGGACAACGCGGTATAAAAATGTCATGAGATGACATGGGATAGGAAAAATAAACAGGAATGGTGAGAGATTTGCTTATTTATATCCCTTCGAAAAATGGTTATAAGTGACACTATTCCCACGCAAACACATACATGAAGCTACATGGGTCTCTCCGGACCACACTACAGAGAACCAGAGAATTCAATAGAACTTTAAGCAACGGTTCCAAACCTCACAAGGTCTAATTAAAGAAGAGTGAACTACTATAGGGAACAACTGGTAAAGGATTAAGAAAGCACTCACTTCAACATGATAGGATGTTTTTGGCTCTAAGAAGCGCTATCATAAAAATGCATCTCTATCAATACTCTGGGCAAGATTCGAGAAAGGACAAACAATAAGACAAATTAACAACAATTGAACAGGAGCAGAGACTGAATACACAGAAACAAACAAACGATAGAAAGGGAGCATTAGAGCCTATAAGTAGAAATAAGTAGAAGCCCTGGCAAAGGACAAATGAAAAAGCAGCGAGAAGGAAATAATGAAGTAACTTTATGGTGCAACGAGGAAACTAGCAGAGAAATATTGTAAACCAGAAAGACCAGTCAAGGACAAAAGAGGCAAGCCAATCACTGAGATCCAAGAACAGCGAAACAGATGGCACAAATATATACTGATCCAAGTTGGTCCATCTCACGTTAGTGAAGTAAGAGAAAGTAACAACATGAGAAGCAGAGGAGAACAAACAATATCAACTCTTTTTCAAATAATGGATGCACCCGTGCCATAGAAAACGATTGCGAGCCGTGTCATCCAAAGTCTCTAACCATTAGTTAAGATTATTACGAGGACTCAACCCAGGTATTATAAACCTATTGACATGGCTCAGTTATCAATGACCTCATAGATTGGTACCCATATGTACAATATGACACAAAACCCTTCCACATCGAAAAATATATATCACGGAATCACCAACTCACTTGGGCACAATGAAATATGTCTCGAGGTGATAAATATTGTAAGATATGTAAAGAAATTTCAACAGGTAAATATGCAATAAAATCTCGTTTCAACAATGGTTTTATAGTTTTTTTTATATGCAACAATTCGCCATGTGAACATTGATCAATTAAAGCGGATAACTGAGCAAGTCGATCATGACTACATGAAGGATTGTTGGCATTTTCAAATTCATTTAAACGGTTTGTTGAACTGTAACTAACATCGCATAATGATGGAGTATGGATTATATTATTTCTCGATTTATCCAACAGGCGGGGATATTTCAACTAAAATAATATTGTATTTTGTGGTGGTTTAAATGATCTTACATCTTTTTCGAATGTTCTAAAATAAAGCAATATAGATTAAAATTATCCTTATATAAAAAATAACATACTCTGAGCAGACTGACTGTACACATCTTTTCACCTTTGTACATGTTGGAAAAGCTTCAAGATAAGACATTTAAGAATACCTAAAATACAAAATAGTTTAGAAGAACTTGATCAGATGAGGCCAAAATGACAGCATATCAAACAATATATTGATCCAATATAATAAGATGTAGGTGCTGGTAAATTTCTCTCTAAGTTACTTTCTACAAGTTAATATTAAATTACAGCACATAACTTACTTGCTACACATAACACGAAATGAAAACATATTGTCACAATAAATGGCTTTACTCAATATTATATGTTTGGTACAACATAGAATTCTCAACACAATAAATAAAAAAAGATAATTCAGGGAGAAAGTTCTTTTCGACAATATCATTTACAAACGTCTTACAATTATATTTAAAGTCTTGAGAAAGTTTCACAATCGAAGTCTGTTGTCTATCCGAGACCCGTATTCAAAACTTTAGTGAAGTACTACAAATTCGCTATCCATCTATCACTTCACAAAGCTTGTTCAAAGTGTATTTATCTGGAGACCCTCTGGCGTCCTCGTCTGATTTAGCTGGTGTCGGGGTCACACTAAGTGATAGAGATGAGGCAGCATTGTTCAATTGTGCCCCAATTAACTCAGCTATGTGCTGTTAAATTACAAGGTTCCATCACAGAAGGGCCCCCAAATGCCCTGGTACGGCCGAGGGTGGGGAGAGTCCGCTCTCCCTCTCGAAAAGCTCTCACATGGCCACGCGTATACAGCCTCTCCCAGGGAATTCTTACTCACTGCCTTCTCGTGGCATTACTGTTGTTTACGAAAATAAGAGGACGAAAAGCGAATATCCGGAGCTTTAACCGGATTCCAAACCAATGGTGCACATGGGCTCCAGTATCCTGCGGGAACAAATGGCGTATGAACCAATCGTTGGTCACCGGCTATCATGGAACTGCATCTCTTTACGTTGCTCGACTGCCTCGTGGATCAGACCTTCAGGTCGAAGGTTCGGGGAGTGGCCCCCTCAGAAAACCACCTGCTTCGGTTTGGGCGCCCGGGCAGTATCACAGCTCTTACACAAATCAAATGAGATTTGTGTGGCGCATATGTATTTGGTGCCTCCTTGTACCAATATCTATGTGTTAAAATGAATAAATAAAAATCAAAGTAGGAAGAAATCCGTACGAGAAACGATGTCTTTTCATTATCTCCGCCTACGCTCCAACAGATTGCATCCTGGATGCGATCAAGGATAAATTTTATCACCAGTTAGCAGTTCTTCCACAGAAACTGCGTTCGACAGATATTGAAGTACTAGTCTGGGACTTGAACACTCAGATCAGGCGTCTGGGCACAGAAGAGGGTCATTTAGGTAGTCAACGGGAACTTATTGGTCGCAGGTCATATAACGCTGGCCGTCTACTGTAAGTGTGTGCAGACCATAACCTGTTTCTGGCTAGCACCAACCATCGACACAGTCATCGCCGATGTGCCACCTAGCGTCCTCCCTCTGCATCTCAAGCCTGGACTCAGATTGATCACATCGCAATCAGCTACCGCTAGCGTGATTGTGAACAAGACTGCCGCTTCCTTTGAAGTACCTATCTGAATTATAATTATGCCCATGTTTGCTCTAATCTTACCTTACTTTTCAGTGACCAACAAATTCATCGTCCTAAAAGCACCGATGACAGTAAATTGGTTGCAACTAAATATTAAACCGAGCTAGGTTCAAGGTTAGTTATCATCCCATCGAAAAGTACAGATGAGCAAAGGTTGCAATTGCACGACGTCATGAAAATGATGAGTAAAGTCGCTTGCGGCTTCGCGAAACGTCCCGCTTATAAGCATTGGGTTTCTTCTGGCTCCTTACAAATCGTTGGAGCCCTTCGGTCTACTCCAGGTGACTGTGAGTTTGACCACAAACGACGACTGTTACGTAATAAAACTGGACAAATCTTGGACCGAGAAGCCTGGCGGTCGAGGCGTACCAATGAGTTGGAAGCAGCAACTGCATCTGGTAACCACCGGAAGCTCTTTGAACCCATCCGAGTCACTGGCAGTAAGAAGTCTGGTGTGAGTGAAACAATCTGTGAAGATGACGGGATACCAATCACTAACATCAATCAACGTCTTGAGCAATGGGCAGTTTTTTTGAGAAACAGTTCAACTGGTCTGTTGTCTAGGCGACATCGATTAGACTGCCCTGCCTTCCATGGTAAATCAGTTGATGAGGTTATGGATCTTCATCGACTGAGATGGTTTGGCCACGTGTTACGTATGGCTGAACATCGATTACCACGACGTGCAATGCTATCCTGTATTGGAGATGGTTGGAAGAAAATTAGGGGCGACCAAACCAAAACGTGGCATCAGTGCTTGAAGACACTAACTTCTAGTCTGAGTCATGTTGGTAGATGCAGACTACTTGGTTGGGGTCCGCGTGACTATCGTAACCAATGGTTGGAGACTCTTGGTGACATGGCTCAGAATCAATCACAATGGCGTCGGTGTATACACTCCCTGTCTTCCCTTAAACTAAGAGATTAAAATCAATTCATATCTTTCTTTCTACGAACCAATTCTTTCATCTTGTACTATATCTCTATATGCAATCTTCCTCTTATTTATTACCACCTTTGACCTAACTACTGCTATGAATCCGGTGTTCATCTTGTTGTGCTGATGCGGTATGGCAACCTGGACCGATGCATATATGTGCCTGGTCCTACGTTGTAGTTGACTGACTGACTGACTTCCATGGCCTGTGACGACTGATTCACCAAATGAGGCGGAAGTCTTCAAGGAACTCCAAATATTGAAGCGCTAAAAATCACCGAGTCCAGATAACTTACCTCCGGTCAGTCAGCTACAACGTAGGACCAGGAACATATGTGCATCGGCCCAGGTTGCCATACCGCATCAGCACAACAAGATGAACACCGGATTCATAATAGTTAACTCAATGGTGGTTATATATAAAAGAAAGATTGCATATAAGGATACAGTACAGGAAGAAAGAATTAGTTAGTAGAAAGATATGAATTGATTTTAATCTCTTAGTTTAAGGGAAGACAGGGAGTGTATACACCGACGCCATTGTGATCGATTCTGAGCCATGTCACCAAGAGTCTCCAACCATCGGTTACGAAAGTCACGCGGACCCCAACCAAGTAGTCTGCATCTACCAACATGGCTCAGACTAGAAGTTAGTGACTTCAAGCACTGATGCCACGTTTTGGTTTGGTCGCCCCTAATTCTCTTCCAACCATCTCTAACACCCGTTAGCATTGCACGACCCTTTTTGCAGATGGTGGCGACCTTCTGGTTAAGGAAATGACTGCGTTGTTTGCAGAGGTCTGGCAATCCGAGTGTTCCAACATCAGGGAATGAGTCGATATTTGTTCCCATCTTTAAAAACGGTTCATATCGTTTCTGCAACAACTATCGAGGAATAAGTCTACTTCCGATTGCGTCCAAGCTATTGGCTTCTGTTATACTTCGTAGATTGTTCAAAACCCACAAGAAGCAAGTTGGTTTTCGTTCTAATTGAAAATGTATTAAACATACCTTCACTCTCCGCCAAATGTTAGAACACCGTCATACTTGCCACAGGCCAACAACCATAGTGTTTCTTGACATCAGGGCTGCCTTCGATTCGTTGGACAGGACTGTTCTCTGAGATTGTCTATTGAAGAAGGGTGTGCCTGAGAAGTTTATTAACATCCTAAAAGCCCTATATACAATCACCTCAGGCAGAGTGAGGGCATACAACCAACTCTCCCCATTGCTCCATTCAAGAAGTAAGGTTAGTCAGTGTTGCCCAATCCTACCATTTCTCTCCGACTTTGCCATCAATGAAGTCTTAGAAACAGCTTTGATGGATGTACGTTATGATGTGGATCGGTTGCTTGGAGCAAAACTTATCGACCTTGAGCATGCTGATGATATTGTCTTACTGTACGATAATACCCAAGTCATGCAATCCGCACTTAATCAATTGGTGGTCAGTGTCCGTAGGTATGGTATGTGCGTTGCACCTTCCAAGTGCAAAGTACTTTTACAAGACTGGCAGGACCCTGATCCTACAATCACACTAGTAAGTGAGCGGATAGAAATAGTCAAGGAATTCGTGTATCTGGGTAGCTGCATAAGTGCTGGTGGTGACGTGAGTGATGAGATCAATTCAAGTATAATGAAAGCCAGAGCGGCTTATGCCAATCTGAGCCATATATGGCGCCTTCGTGGTCTTAGTCTATCCGTAAAAAGTCGGATCTACAACGCATCGATGAGAGCAGTTTTGCTCTATGCTTGTAAAACCTGGTCTCTCTGAGTTGGGGATGTTAGACGACTCTGTGTTTGATCACCGTTGTCTCCGAAATATTGCTGACATCCAGTGGCAACACCATGTTAGTAATGCAGAGGTTCAGCATCGTGTGTTCGGGCATAGAGACGACAATTCAGTTGGTGTCACCATCTTGATACATCGACTTCGGTCTCTTGGCCTACTATAAATGTGGTACCAGAGGATCCCACGTCGTGTATTACTTGCCTACACTGGGACTGTCTGCAAAATGCGGGGAGGTGGTCAGTGTATGATACGGTACTAATAGTATAAAAGAAAACTACAAGACTAACTTCTGTTGGCCATTCACTACTCTCTGGTTAGGATCTTAGAGCTGTTGCAACACAGTGGCTAGAGACGCTATTAGACATGGCTCACAATAGAAGCCAGTGGCGATCCTATTGTAACTTTCTTTTGCTTACTTTATAAAATGAACGTAACTTCTTTGACTGAAAGAATTCCTTCTGGTTGTACTTCTGCTAACTGAACTGCTTTTTCTCATTACTATTTCACTCTCATACACTAATTTCTGTTCGTTATTCTTTTTCATTATATGCACTAAACATTCTCTATCTCATCACAACCTCATTGTTATTGTGTGGTGCATATGTATTTCGTACCCCTTTATACTAATGTTTGTGTCGAGACAAATAAGCATATTTATAGTTGTTTAACAGACCTAGTTTCTATTTAATAAACAAGAAATTACATTATAAGACGTTCAGAAACTCGG